CCTGGGAGCTGCCACGGCAAACCGAAAGCTGAACCTCAGAGCGTTGAGGAGACGACGTGGTCTGGGGTGGGGCGAGCGGCACTGAGGAGGAGGTGTGGTGCGGGTGTCCTGTGCTGGGGAGCCCAACGGCATGTGCTCGATGGCATCACAGCACTTGTAGGGCTCTGGCGCAACCAGGACGTGGAGCACAGTACTGGGGCAGGCTGATAAGGGCTCCCCACCAGGTGCTCGGGGATGGCAGGAGCTCAGGTGGGGCTCTCGGGACCCTTCCCGGAGCCCCCGGTTGGGCCATGCCCTGTTTCTGACTCTGACTCTGACTCTGAGGACACGGCCAGGGGCGGCACAGGACCCAGTGCCGGGGTGCAGAACCCCTCCCAGGTCATCCACAGTGGCCACTTCATGGTGTCGTCCCCGCACAGCGACTCACTGCCCCGCCGGCGTCACCACCGCACTGAGCCTGAACTGGCCGATCCCCGGAGCATCGACCCAACCCTCACCCGGCTCTTCGAGTGCATGAGTTTGGAGTACAGGTGAGTCCCAGATCCCTCTCGCTGCCCTGTGCCTCATGGACCCCAGGTTTTGGAAGACATGAGGCTGGCTGGGCCCTACTGCCCCTCCAGGGATCTGCTGCTAATTGCCAACTGGCAGTGTCTTCGTCTTCTTGTCCATTGGGTTGTGATGTGCAATCTGCTCTAAAACTGCTGTCCTGGGAGGTTTTAGGGAGAAAGAGCTGGTGCTGGGTTGTTGGCCATGGAGTCAGATGAGAAGTTCCTCCTCTCTTCACCTTCCTTCACCTTCCCATGAGATCTGGAGTGTCTGGCTGTAGCCAGCGTAGCACCCTCACGGCCAGGTCCTCTGTAGAGCAGCAATAACCCTGTGGGCAGCCAACTCTCAGTCTTTGTTAACCCAGCCCAGAGCAGGAGTCCTGCCTTCCCGTCTTTGACTCTGCCCATATGTCCTGAGGTGATTCCAGGACGTGCGGCAGCAGTCTGGGCTGGATGGCTGCACGGGCCTTTGTCCAGGGGCTCCTGAAACCTTCCCCCCTTCTCTCCTGCAAATCAGATGGGTGACTGCATTGTTCCACCAACCACACAAATCACCCAAGCCCAGGGTGCTAGCAACCTGCTCATCCCACAGCTCCTCGGTGACAACAGTAGAGCCTCCATCATGTCTCTTGGTGCCTTGGTCCACATTCTTGGAGGCAGCTCCCTCTTGCCAAGGCCCCAAGGCTTTGGGTTCTCTCAAGAATAGCATTAGGGTGACTTCCTTTACTGTTATCAGTGCAAAATTGCTTGCATAACTTTCCCAAAATGTCCAGGTGAAAACCTGGAATGATGACATCCTGCTGATGCCATATGAAAATAAAACTTCAGCAGAACAGCCTTGAAGAGTTGCCCATTGCTGTGTTCCATGCAGGGTCCCATTCAGCGGCTGACCTCTGAGGTATGCCTTGAAGTCCTTGAGTGCTTAACATGTCAGAATATGTGGTCGCTGCCAGAGCAGCCCTGGTGACACCAGGCACTGGGACAGCACGCCAAGGGTACTAGTTGCCACATAGCTGTGTACATTTGGCCCATGGCCACAACCCAGATTGCACGGTTTGCTCACAGCTGGTGCAACACAGCTCTCTCTGCGGTGCTGGAGAAGCTGGTGCTCTGCAGGAGCACAGTGAGCTTCAGCATGGAGTGACTCAGCTGAGGGTCATGCTTCCTGGTCAGGCAAGTCACCTCTGAGTGCCACGTACAAGGGACACGGAGCCACTGGTGGCCTCACTATCTTTTGCTCTCCCAGTCCTACACTCGCCTTACTCTGAGCCTTGCAGTCTGGGGCTGGAGGAGCAGACATTGCTCCACCCCAGGGTGCTCAAGCTCTTGACTCCTGAGATGCACCACAGCCTCCATGTGCCCCCGATCTCTGGTGCTCCCCAAGCAGAGTGATGTCCAGCGACAGGACAAGGGGCAACAGGCGCAAACTGGAGTACAGGAAGTTCCATCTGAACATGAGGAAAAACTTCTTCACTGTGAGGGTGCAGAGCCCTGGGACAGGCTGCCCAGAGAGGCTGTGGAGTCTCCTTCTCTGGAGATGTTCAAAACCCACCTGGACACTTTCCTGTGCGACCTGCTGTAGGGAACCTGCTTTGGCAGGGGGGTTGCACTAGATGATCTTCAGAGATCCCTTCCAACCCCGACCATGCTGTGACTCTGATTCTGTGAAAGGGGCAGGGGGAGCAGACCACAGCAGCTGTATGCCACCCAGGGGTGGCCATTATGCTGCAAACAGGGCTCCATCACTTCAGTTCTCTCTACCCCTTGGACTCTTTCAGGGCCTTGTTTCCCTCCTGCACTGATCATGAAAATGCACACACCAGTCCCAAGCCCGGAACCATGGCAAACTGTAACTGCAGTTGGACAAGAGCCCTCACTGCGGAGGATCCACATCAGCTACAAAGCATTACTGCCACCACTTATGGTCACCCCAGAGTCCAGAGCACCAGAGGTGTTTCCTGGCTGCTTTGATGCAAGACGAGGTCTTGGGAGCAGTTCTTGGTCTGCCAAGGAGCCATGGTAGCTGCAGGCCATGGGATCCAACCTGTTGACATTGGATATTCTCCAGACTTCATGCCTGATTGTTCTCTCTTGGAGTTCCTTCCATCCTTAGACACTCTTCCCCTCCACCTTTCAGCCGTCATGCTCTGCAGCTCTTGCCAGCACCCTAAAACAGGATGACAAACACTGATCAGAGATCAGGTTCAAGTGAACCTGGACTGTGATGCACCTCCACTGATGGGATTAGACTCTGGCTCTAGAGCTGACCACTCTGCTGGTTAGCTGCTGTTCAGGCATTTCTTTTCTCCCTTTGGAAGCCTATGGCAGCTTTGCTAATACATGTTTGACAGAGTTGTAAGCAACAGTTGGAGGAAGATATCAGAGGGGGAAAATGGAGTTTAAAGATACTTGGTACACCTCTACTTTTAGTCTTATTTGATTTGATACTTCTCTGCATTATCTGTGATTTCACACCTTCTTTCCCAGCCAGGTTCCTCAGAACAGCAGAGCCTCAGTTGGAATGGCCAGGCAAATGTCCTCCAGTCTTCAGAGTGCATCCACAGTTACGTTGTAGACTAACTCCCAAACAAAGCAGAAACCACAGAAAGGTGTCAATTGGGAGGCACCTCCGGAGTTCATAGTCAAACCCCTGTGCAGGGCAGGGCTAACTCCAAAGCCAGATCAGGTTGCTCAGGGTCACCACTCTGATGGATGAAGACCAAGGATGATGAGCCCACCACCTGTCTACCTTGTCCCAGGGCTGCACCACTCTCACAGAGAAGAGTGCTGGCCATGGCTCTAATTGGAATTTCCCTTATTCCAGCTTGTATCTTTTGCCTCTTGTCCTTTCTTGGTGAGTATCCAAGAAGTGTCTGGTTCCATCCACTCTATAGCCTCCTTTGGTTAGTTGAAGGCAGTAAGTAGATCCTCTCTTCACCTCCTCTTCTTCAGGCTGAACAAGCCCATCACTCACCTTCCTCTTCTGTCATGTACATTAGTCCCCAACTGTCTTAACATCCTTCTCCAGGATCAGTCCAGTTTGTGAACCTCCCTCTTTTTCCAGACAGACCAAACTGGACACAATATCCAGACGTGGCCTCAGCAATGCTGAGTAGAGGGGAACTATGACTTCTTCTGACCTGCTGGCTGACCTGTGACTGTTGCAGTCACCCATCCCTTGCTGTCCCAGCTCACACCATATCAAAGGCAATACACTAAACTCTTTCTAAACAGCATCATGTTTCAATGGCTGTAGCTGAACAGTCATTTGGGTAGCGGTAATTCCCTCTCCAGCAATTCCCCCTCCTGATTGCCTCTCCTGTAATTCTCCTCCATGGCACTTCACAGACATTCGTGGCAGTCCTGTCTCAGCTTGAGCAATTGCCCCAAGGATCTGACATATTGCGCCATCATGGGCTGGACTGTGCATCACCCCCTCGCTGGGAAAGAAATACTCTCTCCACATCAAGGCTTGCTTCTGGCAGCAACTTGTTTCTTCAGATCCATCAAAGAAAGGCAACTCCCCCCACTGAGATCTTCCTCCTGTTGCTGGGGGCTGGGATGAAGCAGTCCCCAGGCTCTGTGTACCCATTTTCCAGGACACACCAATGTGGCCACATCTGCGATTGCTGGGTCCACCCCCACCATTCCATGAGTCCTTGGTCACATCCAGACCAAAGACCATCTGGGAAGGAAGCAGGAGAGGAGGGAAGCAGAGCTCGGTGCTGATGGCAGCCCTGGCTCAGTAGATCCCTCTGGGGCTTTGCAGAGGTTTGGGCAACTTCTGCTGTGAATTATCTGCACAAGGGGTGGTAGCGGGTCTGGTGAGGGGGAAAGGCTTGTGCCCGGGCTAAACCCATCCATGCTGCAGTGTGTCTGTTCTGTCATTAGCAGCAGGGAGCTGCACGCTTTTCCCGTCATTTCCCAAGAATTTGGGGCTGATCCTGTCCAAGCATTTGTGCAGAGGAGCTGGGCTGGTGTGCAAGCCTGTTCCCACACTGATGCACAGTGGGGGTCACACCTCCAGAAATCACCAGAATTGTGGAGATGAACCTAGCTTGACTTGCAGCTATCCAGCTTCCCAGACAACTATTTGCAAGAGGATTTAAATTATATCCCTTCCCATCTGGGGCACTTTGTTCTCACTTTGCATGGAGGTGAACGGCTGCCCGAGAGGCAGAGCTGTAAGGGCAGAGGCACTGCTATCTGGGAGCAAATACCCAGCGCGGGTCCCTATCTAATCCCCAGTACAGCCTATTAACACCTTGGTTACAACCCTGCCCTCGAATTACCCCAGATGCCCCCACGTTGGCTGCAGCACCTGCCAGGGCAGAGCTTGATCCTTCCAGAGGCAGCAGCCTTTTCATCAGCACAATGCGATAAAGAAAAAAGCACATTCAGATAGAAGAGATTTTAAGTCGAATTTGAACACAGTTGGTTTTTGCTTGAGGGCATTTTTCAGGAAAATTGTGGTTAGATTTTTAACTTTCTTTCCCAGGCTCTGGATTTTAGAACATAGTAATTCAGGAAAAAACATTACTTTGGTAGCAAAAATTGTGAGAAATCAAATGTGAGCTTTTAGGACTTCCAGGAAAGGCTGTCCTCTTTCAGGCAGTCCAGGGCCAAGCTGTGCCCTGGCAGCCCAGGGAGCAAGGGGGCCTCTGACGGCCCCATGGGCCATCCTGCTCCTGCTGCACTTGGGAAGGCTGAGCAGGCTTGTACCTGCTAGAGGACCCTCAGCTTAGATGTTCCCCTTGATGCTGCCCTGCATCTCACCAGATGATTCCTCCTCCCTCCTCTTCCTGTTGATGGAGAGCAAAATACTCACTTTGCCATGAAAGCAGGGGCCACAACATCTAAAACTTCTGGATGGGCTGAATAAATCATGGAGCAAACATGGGGATTCACACCAGGTTTGGTCCCAGGCTGAGCCCTGCTCACACCTCACCCCATCCCACAAAGACCCCGTAGCCAGTGGTGGGACTTGTGTCCCTATTCTTCTGGCAGTGTGGGGCAGCAGGACCCCCAGCCTGTTTGGGGCATCCCAAACCTTTCTCACAGCTCAGCATAAGGTTTGCATCCATCTCCCTGGGGAGATAATTTTCAAGGCAAACCAGAAAGTAAAGCTCAGCCTGGTACATCCCAAACCTGAAAGGATCCAAAGGCATCTCTCCTTGGCCTCCAGGTCCCACGGCAGCTCCGTGGCCACAGCCCCACCAGCCTTGCACATGGCTGAGGTGCCTGTCTGCAGCTGTGGGGCTGCAGTCCATGGGCTCGGGCTGCTGCTTTAAGCTGGCTGTTGGGGCGGGCAGCACCAGTGAGGAGTGTGGTCAGGTAGCCTTGACCATCAGGATCTGGCCACACGCCCAGGAAACCATCTCTTCCATTGGCTCCTCTGCTTGGCACCACCTCGCTGTTTGCCTTGTGCCACTGGGGAAAGTTCAAAATCCTGGTGATAGTGGAGTGGCCAGTGCGTAGCCAACTCCTTAACTCTCTGCAGGCTGGAGCCGCAGGGATGAGGGGTGGTGGGTCGGGCTGGGTCTCCATAGTGGGACTGTCCCTGTCCACCCCTGCAGACAGGAGCACATGCTCCCAGATACATCCTCACGTCAGGCTCTGGAGCTGGAGGGGTCCCTAGTCCTTGTCCCCCACAGTGACATGGGACAGCAGCGCTCTCCTCTCCCCTCAGCCCCAGCACACTCCCTCCAGCCGCAGAGCAGGGC